TTGAAGTATCTTCTATTTTGCTCTATCCATATGTTGTAGACTAGGGCTGAAAGACATAGTTTACGAACCATATTCCTGGGATCGCTTCTATCTTTCCAAATTTGACTTGTCCAAATAATGAAAGCATGCCATGAAGAAAGCTGAGTATAGAAAGCATAATGTGTTTGTAAAAATGACCAAAAGGGGGCAATGAAAGAGCACTTGAAGAAAAGGTGCTCATGGGATTCAGGCTGAGCTGAGCAGAGACTACACAGATTTGGTGTATTCCAATAAGCAACTGGCTTCCTATCATAAGTGGGAAGCTTTTGAAGGATAGCAACCCACAAGATGAAATTGTGTTTAGGGATGCTATGTGTAAAGGATGTAAGATGGAACCATGGGACTATTGGAAATGGAGAAAGGGATATAATGGTTTGTGAAATGGAGAACTACCTGTTAGGAGAAGGTAACCAAATGATGGAATCCTGTTGGTTAGGGGAAGGTAATGGAAGGACATTAAGAGAGAGGAGCTGTGGTAGAAAGGCTATGATGGTAGGAGGAAAAAACCGTGAGGTTCCATTAATAAAGGAGCTCACCTTAGTATGAAGATCAATTTGTGTGCTTTGGATTTGAGCAGATGATACATAGTGAAAAATAGGGCCTAAGGGGCACCAATTATCAAACCAGAAATTAGTATTGTGACCATTGCCAATTTCTGATTTGACAAAGGGTTTGAAGGCAAATCTGAGCTGTAGAATCTTGCGCCAACTCCAAAAACATGGTTGTGGAATTTTGAGTGTCTAAATGCATCTATGCTTGATCAAATGAGCCCTAATCCATTGGGTCCATAAAGAAGAGCAGTTTGGAGAAAGGATATACCATAATTGTTTCATGATGGCTGCTCTATTCCAAGTTTGGAAGTGTGGTATCCCCAAACCACTTGCAGAAATTAGTTTACAGACAGTTGACCAAGCCACCCTAGCACCACCCTTTTTGAGTTTTTGCCCTGTCCATAAGAATTTCCTGGGGATGCAATTGATGTCCTCTAGTGTGCTGATGGGAATAATGAACTTGGTTGTCTAAAACATCAACATACTACATAGGAGAGACTTGATAACTTGAACTCTACAAGCAAATGATAGGAACCTACTTGTCCAAGAGCTTGTATTTGCTGTGATTTTTTCTATGAGAACTTTACAATCCGCTGGCTTGAGCCTTGTGGAGATGAGAGGAACTCCAAGATAACAAATTGGAAGAGTTCCCTTTGAGATCCCAAGGGAGGAAAGTATTTTAGCTTCAAGGCCAGGAGTAACACCATAGAAGATGATGTTACTTTTGGAATTATTGATGGAGATTCCTGACAGCAAACTGAATTAATCAATAGCATTTTTAATAACCTGCACTGAAATCATATTAGCTTGTGAAAAATTGAGAAGATCATCTGCAAAGATGAGATGAGAAAGAGCAAGGGTTTAACATCTCCAATGATATTTGAAAGAGGGGGCTGCTGAGATGAAAGTTTTAAGGATGGATGAGAAGGCTTGCATCACTATAACAAAGAGAAAGGGGGAAAGTGGGTCACCCTGCCTCAACCCCTCGACCCCTCTAAAGAATCCATGATGTTCACCATTGAGAGAGATTGTAAAAGAAGGGATAGTGAACTGGGGGGGGGGGGGGGGGGGGGGGGTTGTTGCTGTGAAACCAATAAGGGACAGACAATCAAATAGAAAGGGCCAAGAAATAGAATCAAATGCTTTCCTAATATCAACCTTAAGTGCACATCTAGGTGAGCTAGAGAAACAATGGTAGCCCTGTAAAAGCTCTTGAGAGAGTAGTATATTGTCATCAATCCTTCTACCACTTATAAAAGCTGATTGAGCAGGATCAATGATGAGAGATAAGATGGGTTTAAGCTTATTGGCCAGGAGCTTCGCAACACATTTGTAAAAGGTTGTACAATATGATATTGGTCTGTACTCTTTAAAGTTGGATGGATTGGATGATTTAGGCACAAGGGAAATGGAACAACAATTGATTTCTTTGAGTAATTTGCCAGAGGTAAAAAAGTTCTTGACAGCTTTTGTAACCTCACTACCAATAATGTGCCAAGTCTGCTTGAAAAATGATGCATTGAAGCCATCTGGACCAGGTGCTTTGTCACTATGCAGGGAGAACATACATTGATAAATTTCAATGTCAGTGGGGATAACTAAGTGGAATGTGGGACTGTCACAGATAGGAAAGGTTGGAGCATGTGTATGCCAGGATATAGATGGGAATTGCTACCCAAAATGTTATGGAAGTGTGAAAGTGCTTCTACTTTGATGGAGTCTTTATATTCCAAGAGTACACCAACATTAGAGGGGGGGCTTGGAGTTGGACCACCGGTGCATTGGCTCTAGCAACCATTTTTATTTTTTATTTTATTTTTTTTGTTAGCTCTGGCAACCATTTGTGCAATAGTCAGATGTGGTGTCACATTATTCAGCTGATACAGCTAATAATGGGGCTAAGACACACAGAATGAGAGTCCAAAACCTCATTTTTTTTTACTATGTGTCAAGGCAATGAGACTAGAAGGGTATATATAAGGGCGTGTATTGTTAACAACCACTTACTACAAAAGTTTAAGTTGTTGGACATGGTGCAACTTTAATATTTATATATTTCAACACGTCCCTTCACATGTTGCTTTCTTTTTTTTTGTCCAAACCGTGTTTTTCAAATTTTTAATTAGGGTGATGGTGAGAATTGAACTCAAGACATTTGACTCTGATACCATATTCACTACTCATCCAGTCTAAAAACTTAAGCTATAACTTAAATATATAAATCTTTCGACATGTATTTAATCTCTTTAGGTCAAGAATGCTTGGTTGGCTTCACAATACTGGAGGTCATTCTGGTAATGCAATTCATTGCACGGTACTATAAATTGTTAGAAGGACTGTGTTCAAGTTACTAAAAACCTACCTATAAATGTACTATACATATTAATTCAATGGTCCAAGTTGTGAGATATAATATTTATATATAGACAAATTTCGATGTTAAAATAAGTTCGATAAATTAATTAATACTTTTTCTTCAACTTTTGGGGGGGCGGGGGGGGGGGGGGGGGGGATAATCGTGGTAACCTGATAATAGCCACCTAACAGTTCACATGCATGGTCCATGAAAAAGCAATATCTTGGTTGTATACAAAACAATGCCTAATAATTCCAAATGATTCGTTGCTTGCATGAGAGAGGGGGGAGGGGGGAGGTTAGAGGAATGAATAAGGGTAAAATAGTCATTTTAAATTGCCAATATTTTAAAATAAAAAGTATAAAAAAATTGGAGGTAAATTTGTCTTTTCACACTTTTTTTAGTGGTGTCATTCACGGCAATTTGACAAAATTTGAGAGGGTGTTAGCGGAATTGATCCTAGGCAAATTTTGGTGTTAAAACAAGTTCAACGTTGTCAAAATCTTAGTTATTTGTTTTAGAAACCATTTGAATCTCTCTCTGTTTTTAACCTTTCTTTTGATCAATTTGCTTGAGTTAGTGTAAACTACAAAAGGCTATTGTTTATAATCGGATCGGACATACCGAATCGGTGTTTCAATGTGATATTTAGCAAAATTTTAGAAGGTATTAGTGAAATTGATCCTAAACAAATTTTGATGTTAAAACAAATTCGATCGAGTTATAATTGTCGATTTAATTTTTAAAACTCAAGATCAAATATCGAATTAAAGATATGAATCATATACATATTTTGATTGGATAAGGACGACATAATTAAATATTTGTGGAGAACACTGGAAGTTCAGATAACAGGTATTTAAAACGTTTTCAAAATATTTGTCTTCAAATGAGGAATGGTTTGATATCTATCTTCAAGAATAGTTGGCCGGCTTCACAGTATGGGGCCATGCACATCAAGTGCAAGAGACAAAAAAAAAAAAAAAACAAATAAAAGAGCATTAATACCTAGCTGCCAACTCTACCTCTCTTGCCTCCATCCTCTCCTGAATTTTAAATGCCAGACAAAAAAAAAACCAAATAAAAGAGCATTAATACCTAGCTGCCAACTCTACCTCTCTTGCCTCCATCCTCTCCTGAATTTTAAATGCCAGATTGAAGATATGCATCATATCTATATTTTGATTGATTCGATAGCATTAATACCTAGCTGCCAACTCTACCTCTCTTGCCTCCATCTTTTTCCTAATTTTAAATGCAAACAATATATATATATATATATATATATATATATCTAAGACAGAGTAAATGAAAGACACAACCCTACAACCATTTCACTACTTTTTATATTGATTAGTTTTTGGAGTACTCAACATTACCTAGCTGCCAACTCTTCCTATCCGGCCTCCATTCTTTCCCATTTCAAAAAAACGTGAGTGGGCCCAATATTTCTCTATTTGTTAGAGTTTGGCTAAAAAAACGTGGGAGGAAGAAAAAAGAGAAAATAAAAAGTCACTTTTTATGATATGAAAAGGTAATAAAAAAGAAAAGAGAATATTTGAAAAGGTGATATGTATTTTTGAGGTTCAGAACTAAATTTTTATATTGATTAGTTTTGAATAATATTAATAAGAAATAATTATAATTTGACTTATATAAGCAACTTTAAGATTTTGAGATCCTTCAAAATTGGAGGCCCTAGGCGAAATCGTGTTGGTCGTTATACCCAAGGTAGACCTTGCTCTAGAAGGGAAAGAGAAATAGAGAGCTACCAAGCGCAACCAATTAAAGATCAAATGTTTTAAGTCTCTAAATTTATCTCCCATCCTCTTTGATATCATTTTGGAGCTCTTTAAATTTTCTTCTGTGAAATTTTCCCATGTTCATCGTCAAGGGAATCAAGTTGCTCATGGGCTTGCATCGTTGTCCCACAAATGTTTTGGGCAGGACTTGTTTTAGATTGTTTGCCTGATGCAGTGCTCCACGAAGTTTATGTGGATTGTAATCCTTCTCAATTGTTTGCCTGATGCAGTGCTCCACGAAGTTTATGTGGATTGTAATCCTTCTTAATGTGCCTTTGTTTGCCGGGAAAAAAAAAAAAAAAAAGGAAAGAATTTTAAGGCTTGTTAAGAACAATATTACGCGTGTATGAATCTGCAACTTGCTAACAACTTTGAAATCTTATTTACCAAAGAAGAAGTAAATTTTGAAATCCTCCAGTATGCAGCATCAATTTCACCATTCCGCAATGAGGGAATCAGCCTTTCAAGAGAGGATTGATGACAGCTCCAGTGAATAACACAACCCCAAATGATTCTTCCCTAATCATGAAGATGAAAGGATGATCGGCCACAAAGGTTGGCTTTGGAGGCGTATAACCAGAACGGCACTTCAATTTACCCATATATGTAGCAGCTGCAGCCTCTGTACCTTCCTCGTTGACTTCTATGTAACATTTTTGAAAAATCTCCGAGAAAACAAGTCCCTTGGTGTTGGAGATTTCTGTGAGCTCCTCATGATATTCGAAAGGCCTTGTCAATCCCAATTCTTTGATGGTTTTTTTAGCATCCATTTTGTGTGAGAACTTAAATTTTGGAATCCAGAAAGCATCAAGTTCAACCTTTCGTAGCTCGGAAAGATGATGCAAGAACCAATTATTAGACTCAAACTGTTGTATCAAACTCTGCAGCCCATCTCTCTCGTTGGGAAGAAATATTGACATTGAGAACTGCCTTCCATCTTCGCCCTTTTGATACGGGATCTTGACAAGTTTGAAACCATCAAAGGATCCGAAAAATTGGTAATTCATAGAGGTCATAAAAGGGGCTGAAACTTTTTCTCCATTGAGTAGGTGAAAATCTCTGTCTCTTGTCTGTGATGCATTAAACTTTTTCTCCCAATTTCCTTTGAAGTAGAGCGCATTTGCTAGCACAATTATTGTATCTTCAGCAAGATTGCTTACAAGATCCTTAATGAGCCCTTTGGTTTTGTTTTCCGCCCATGTATTCACTTCATCCTTAACTTCATCAGCCTTGCCATTCCAAAAAAAAAATTAATAGTTGGAAATAAATATCACTAGAACCAGGTAACAATTATCAATCATACATAATTTCTTGTCACTAAAAATGTCAAATTCGAAATTTATATTATTTTGCAATTTTTTTATTTTATTAAAATCATTTGATATACGGTGAATATGAAAACAAAAAGAACTAGTGTTTGTTAATTGGAAATCATCACCCTCAGTCCCAGAAAACTAAAACCAACCATTAGGATGAGGAATCAGTAAATCAGACTCAAAGCTATATAAGTGGTTATTTATTTATTTTTATGTATACAAATTTTATAAAATATACTGAATTGATTTTCCAATTTTTGTCCCCCGTCTCTTAGGGACAACTTGCTATCAACTAATACACCATTATGAACCGGCAATTTCTCTCTCTAAAAGCTGAAAAAAAAAAAAAAGAAAAAAGAAAAATCCAATTTGGTTTACGAAACCAATTAATCTAACTAATTACTCACATATATAATATAGAGAGGGAGAAGGCTTACTTTGTTTTGAAAATCAACAGTTTTGGCTTGAGCATTGTAAAGACGTTGAACAAGATGTTGATAAGAAGAATTGAGAGGAAAAGATTGATCCACCCAAACCCCACTAACAAAAGATAGAATAAGACCTCCACTTGTACTACTAATCTCTGAAGAAGATCCTACCAGACGAATTAATGCCGAAGTCTTGGAGTTGAGATCCTCCACGCTTTCTGATCCAAGATAGTGAAGAAATTGGTCTAGGGTACGGCCAGTCGATCCCGCAGCAGCCATGTTGAGAATAGCGTTGAATGAGAATGGAGAGCAGGCACTGTTATTGCCATTAGTTTTGGCTTCCTTCTGCAGGAATCGGTTTGCTACCCTTAAGCAGAACTCCATCTTCTCTTCTCTTTTACTGAAGACTACTTCTAGGGTTTTAACTGCTGGTTGGAGGTCTGTCAATGTATATATATGAAAAAATTCATATAGGGTGTGTATGGTAGAGTTGATTTGGAAGGATAGGGAGAGAAAAGAAAAGAAAAAAAAGGATGAGAGTGTGTTTAAGTGGGTTAAGTGGGGAGAAAAGAGAAGATAGGGAGAGATAGTTGTCCCTCCCTATCCCTCGTTTGCTTTCTCTCTTAATTTGAAAAAATAGGGAGAGAAATGATAGTGGAGTAAGTGATGAAAAGTTAATACTAAAAATATTTTCTACAAATCAACATACAAAAAAAATTATTCCATTTATGTCCCAATTATTTAAAGAAATATTCTTCTTACAAAAGAAAAATAAACCTGATTTTCCAAAAAGAAATATTTAAGAAATATATTTAAGAAATATTCTTACAGAACAATTAGCTTCGTCAAGTAGCTTGGTATTGAACAGAGGGAGCGAGCTGCAGGTGGAAGCAAATTTGTTTTCACTCATTATTTTTATTTTTTTCTTTTTTATTTTTATTTTTTTTACTTTTGTTTTTATCCATTGCATTGAACTAACACAAGGAAACATTCCAAAATATCCTGCGGAGTGGTTATGAGAGTGTAAGACAGTAATTTAGTCACTATCCTTTCTTTTCTTTGCTCCCCTCTATCCAATCCAAATAAGAGTAACTATTATTTCATTTCTTTTCTTCCCTATCTATCCAAATATAAATAGAAATTATTATTATCCTTTTTTTCTTTCCTTTCTTAACTTATACTATCATTTCTTTTCTTTTCTCTCCTATCTATCCAAACACACCCTTAATTTCCTCCCTAACATTTTTATTTTCTAAAATTATCTCTTAAATTTTATATTTTTTCACTTTTTTATTCTTTAAATTCGTTTAATTTCCTTTAAAAAAAAATAATTTTTCTCTTTATCTCTTAATTTATAGAATCTATATTTATTATCTAAATCGTTCTATTTGTTAATGGAAACTTGAATTATGGTATGATCTGATCTGATAAGCATCATATTTATGTAATTACAAATTTTATATCCAATATATATATACACACGTCAAATACTATGCGGTCTTCAGCGATGATAAATTGGATATGGCCTCACTGGAAGCCCATCGATGACTACTAGAAATGCGACCCAAACTGGGCCAACAACCAATAACGCCTTGCTGACTGTCAATAGGGTTCAGAAAGGGTTCGGAAAGGGCCAATAGGGTTCAGAAAGGTCGCGCTCGGCAGCAAGGGTGGCAGGATCTACATCGTCACCGACTCCTCCCACCGCAATGCGGCGAACCCAACTCCAGGGACCCTCCGGCACGGCGTGATCCGAACGAAGCCCCCCTGGATCGTCTTCTCCATCAACATGATCATCAATATATATATATATATATATATATATATATATATAACCGAACATTGAATAAGAATAATTAACGAATCATCAGACGACAAGACGACAAAACGACAGAAAGCGAATTGATTCATGTGATTATGTTAATATTGTATATTTACTTCATCTGTGGGTTCTAGGGTTTGAATTTTGAATAATTATTTATCCGTCTTTATCTTCCTAATTGAATGAATGTTTGTTTATCATATAAATATTCGATGTTTGTTACACTCTCAAATTTAAATTTATTTGATGCATAAAAAAAAATATACATAAATGTGTCTTTCCCTCAAACTTTAATTATTTGCATACACAAACAGATACATGATTGAGGATATGTATATATACACATATCTGTGTTTTAGTTTTTGAATAATTGTCAAAAGAGCGTTTTTAAGACTATTTGATTTAGCATAACAAAGCAGTGTAATCAGAGATGATCTGAATAATTTAGAAAGAGAAAGTGATTGATATGGTTCATTATTCATAGTTCATATGGATCAATCATTAATCCCTACCTCTATCTGATTAATTAACAAATTCAGAATTTATGGCAACTTAAGTTAGTTAGAGTAAAATTGGTATTTCACAATTAGGTTTATTTTTTATTTTTTTTATTTTTTTATATAATTTAATAAGTAAGATTATATCAATTATTTCAAGTCAACAAAAGCTGGAAAGCTGATCCTCTCAAGAGGATATTTACAACCTTTTGTAGTTTAGAAAAGAATTTATAACAAAGTGAATAGTTCAGAGAAAATGACAGATTAAATATTTGTGGAAAACAGGACAAGTTCAGAGGATACGTATTTAAAACGTTTTCAAAATATTTGTCATTAAGTGAAGAATGGTTTGATATTTTATCTTCAAGAATGGTTGGCCGGCTTCACAGTATAGGGGACCATGCATATCATCAAGTGTAAAAGACAAAAATAAATAAATAAATAAATAAATAAAAGAGCATCAATACCTAGCTGCCAACTCTACCTCTCTGGCCCACATTATATTTTGATTGATTCGATAGCATTAATACCTAGCTGCCAACTCTACCTCTCTTTCAGGTTGAAAATATGGATGATATCTATATTTTGCTCCAATAAGAATGAACGATGTGAAAGTTGAGAGAATATGCCTTTAAATCGTTTTCAAAGTATTTATAATGCATGGTTGGCTAGCTTGACAATACCGGACCATGCATACCATGTGTAAAAGACAAAAATAAAATAAAATAAAAGAGCATTAATAACTAAGACAGAGTAAACTGGGAAGAGTACAAAAGATAGATGTGAAAGACACAACGCTACAACCATTTCACTACTTTTTATAGTGATTAGTTTTTGGAGTAACCATCATTACCTAGCTGCCGACTCTTCCTCTCCGGCCTTCATTCTTTCCCATTTTTAAAAAACGTGAGTGGGCCCAATATTTCTGTATTTGTTAGGGTTTAGCTTAAAAAAACGATGGAGGAGGAAGAAAAAAGAGAAAATAAAAAGTTACTTTTTATTATATGAAAAGGTAGTAAAAAAGAAAAGAGGATATTTGAAAAGGTTTGAGGTCCAGTACGAAATTTTTATATTGATTAGTTTTTAATAACATTAATAGGAAATAATTATAATTTAATTTATATATACAACTTTAACATTTTGAAATCCTTTCAAATTGGAGGCCTTAGGCGAGATAGTCTTGGTCTCTATACTCAGGGCAGAGCTTGCTCAAGAAGGGAAAGAGAAATAGAGAGCAAAGGGAAAGAGAAATAGAGGACAATCAAGTGCAATCAATTAAAGGTCAAGTGTTTCAAGCCTCTAAATTTATCTCCCATCCTCTTTGATATCATTTTGGAGCTCTCTAAATATTCTCCAGTGAAATTTTTCCATGTTCATTGTCAAGGAAATTGAGTTGCTCATGGGCTTGCATCGTTGTCCCATAAAAGTTTTGGGCAGGACTTGTTTTAGATTGTTTGCCTGCTGCAGCGCTCCAGACAGCTTATGTGGATTGTAATCCTTCTTAATGTACCTATGTTTGCCGGAAAAAAAAAAAAAAAAAAAAAGAATGGTTTTTAGCCTTGTTAAGAACAATATTGAGTGTAAGTGTAAGTGCGTTTGCTTGAACTAATGAGAGATTATATGTTACGTAATCAGATGACTATACATATATATATAACAGAGTAGAGTGAACTAGTTGTAAAAAATGTGAATTTTTTTTATTTTTTTTGGAATTTTAAGCAAATATTATAATTGTGAAAAATTTGGTTTTAAAAAATGCATCAAACATTGATGATATTGTACATTCTTTAACCAGATTGTCAAATTATAACCTAATTTGCAAAAATTACAAGTTACAAATACATCTCTTATTTAACACCACCCATCAAAGTATACAAAATAAACTACAAACATAGAAAACAAAAACCAAAAATAGGAAATCTTCAAATTCCCAATCAAAAAAAAAACAAAAAAAAACAAAAAAAACCAACAACAACAACCTGCACCCATTTGGTTGTAGTTATTCACAAAATTAAAGCAACTACACCAAAGAGTTGTCAGTATTGTAAAGCAACATAACTAGTGCGAGATAATACTCATGCTGCATCTGATTGCACACTACTATGAATGGTTGGAAGGACCTGTCTTCAAGTTCCTAAGAACCCTTTAATAAAAAAAAATAATAATAATAATAAATAAAAAAGTTCCTAAGAACCTACCTATAAATGTACTACACATATTAATTTAGTGGACCTAGTTGTGAGATATAATATTATATATTGACTAATTTTGGTGTCAAAACAAGTTTGATCAAGATGTAATTGTCCATTTAATTTTTAAGACTCAAGAAAAATAAATGTGTGAATGTTACTTGAAATTAAGAGTATATGTGTTTAAAATATTGTTTATATATTTATCTTCAATTAGTGGATTATATTATTTTAGAGATGCAATTGATTGTGCAGTACTATGAATTGTTGGAAGGACCTGTCTTCCATATTAATTATGTATTTATGTTCATGGTCCAAGTTTCAAAACAGTGACAAAACCAAGGTCGCAGATGCGTGGTCGAGTTTTATTTTCTCACATTGTCAAGTTTCTTGCACATTAATGTCAACCACATGAGAATTTTTTTTTTTTTTTTGTCGCATGTGCGTGGTCGAGTTTTATTTTCTCACATTGTCAAGTTTCTTGCACATTTCTGTCAACCACATGAGAAAGTTTTTTTTTTTTTTTTTGTTTTTTTGGGTAAGTAAGAATTTAATTGAAAAGGAAAAAATTGTACAGAATAACTGTACAGTATTACAAGGGGCATTCCAGGCATGGTCTTCACAGAAAAAGCAACCGGTTCCATAATAACTACCAACCGGTTGGAGTGCTGAAAAATCCTAATAGTAGAATACCAACTTGTAACCGTATTTTAAGTGATTCTCACACACTTACCGTGTCTAATAGTTGTTCATTGTCAAACCAAAAATGTGGCAAGTCACTTTACTTGAAACTTCCACTTCCTAGACCGAGGCTTGATGATGAACAATAATTACAACTCGATCCCGTCTCGTTTTGATCACCAAAATTAGCTCCGCATATTATAGTTCAAATTAATCTATATTTTGGATTTGTTGGGAAGATAAGTGAACTAGATGATACAACAGTGACATCAAGAAGGTATGTATTTTTACAAGTTCATAGATTAAAATAAAAATATACAAATGCTCCATAGAGTACATAGATTTCATTACGAGAACACAATAAGCAGTCGTTCTCTTTATTTAGATAGTTGCATAGGATGGTCTATCCCATCATTTTACGCACTC